GGTGATACCACAGAACAATGTGATACAATAACAATGGTGATACCATTTTAATTTTTAAATAGTTATCTGTAAAATTGTGATTAAAATAAATATGTCACAATATATTTCCAGTTTATCATATATTATTCTTGGCCCAAGAATCTTGGTTAATTCTGTATGTCCAATTAGTCGATATTTCGATAAGTTAATAAATGATTAGGGTTCAAAGTACAATGGCAATCTTTAATGAATTGTTATTTATGTTGTTACCTTGGGTTCAACGATATCAAATTTATGACTAGCTCCTGGTCTTCACAATATTATTGAAAACATTTTAAAAACCACCAATACTTTGAGAAGATGTATCTCGCAAACCACAATCAACGAAAAATAAAAATGTTAACGCGTAAATTCATAATAAAATTGGGGTTATTGTAATATAATAATCTAAAATATAATGAAATAATATAATATGTTACCATTTGAAAATCAAAAGTTGATAGTGATTTCACCAATAAATAAAAGGGTAAAAAAAAATTAAAATATTATACGGTTTAGAAAAACATAAACATAGAAGTTTTAAAAAAAAAAATTTAAAAAAGTTAATACTTTTCGAGATATTTAGTGTACCCGCTTAAAAGAATCACCATGTATAYCTATTATTATTTTAGTTAAAATATCATCAAATTTATTGGTACCTATTGAGTATAATCTGGAAAATATTTACAGGTTGTAGGTATTTAAAATTTCTTTCGTAAATAAAATGTTTAAAATTATTTTATAGATATAATATAATACATGATAATGTATAGATAGTAGGTACAATAAATTATTTTATTGTTTAATAACATGATGTAAGTACACGCTAAAAATAAAATTATTTTCAAAACTTAATTTTTCATTCTCCTGTTTCTGAATAAATAAAGCAATACTTAAATTTATAAACAAATGTTTGTCTTAAAATGTGTCAGGCTGGTTTAGGTTAGACTACCTACAATTCCACATGTATTAAATATTATAGTTATTAGTTACTATTATTGTCATATAATTAATAATTCTCTACAATTATAATATTCATATATTATGAAAAGAGTATGCGTGATTTCTGTGCAAGTGCTATTTTAATTAATATTTCTGTAGTAATAACTATAGTACTGAGTAGAGTGGAATCTACCACCAACAACAGCATTAGAATATTATAGAACCATTGCGTAGCTGATATGCGCTAGTAATCATTATTGTTAAAAATTTCACGATTTTCTACAAAAATTAAAAATCTTTCGAGTTCCAAATTCCGTAATAGTTGTGAAAAAAAATGATTTTAATTTAAAAAAAATAAAGGTTACAATAACGAATATATCGTACCAATACAACATGGTAAAAATTATAAGCTTTCCAACAGACAACAGCTGTATACTACTACTTAATAAGTGTCCGTGTTTATTGAAGGCTTTATTCTATATAAAATACTTAGGTATATACTATATTTGCTACGAAAATTCTGGAACCTGTAGTCTGGAGTGAGTATTAGTATTAAGAGCATGGCTAGTGCAGTATCTAGGAATGAAAAAATGTTGGGCTAGTGTAATGATCCTCATTATTAATAATATGTAAAATAATTTAGATATTTATGTATTGGAAGTCACTGACATTCAGTGACTTTGAAATAACCAGATTATAGGAAAGCGTAAGCGTAGATCAAAGGTGAAGTCTGGAAATAGCATACACCTTTTGATTAAAYGGACGTCAAGGTTTTGTTATTAATAAAAATACTTTATGTTAATKTAAAACTGTGTATCTTTATTTTAAACATCAATACAAATTAGAGTGCTGAAGCGGACGCGTTTCAACACTGGACACAACATATGCACTTATATAATATATACTAAGTTATATAAGTTATAAATATAAATAAAATATTCGCAGCTTTAAAAAGTAATAAGCCATATTACAAAGCCATACACATAAAAAGTATTATGTGTACCGACCTCTGTTATAGAGACTTTAAAGTAGGTATTACATCATATAATAAATTAGATAATATAAACAAGAATTAATTTTTTAAATAGTACCTACCTATATGAGGAGTTCAACCCCGAMAACCCCTATACTGTCCTCTTTTGTATCCAGAATATAATTGCCCCCTTGGTAATGGCCAATGGGTRCCAAAAGAATGCAGAGATATTATGAATCTTTGTACTGATATGATTTAGGTGTGGTAATGTACGTTTGTGAAATTTTGTTATTTTAGGTTTGTCGAGTACATAATTTTATGACGTATCAAAAAATTATGTATAAAGGTACACAGGTATATTATAGAGTGTTTGATTTAACTCGTTCATTTATTAATTATGTATTTAATTGCAAGGTTTGGATTTTTGGTTTTTCTGCACCCCAGATCAGTAAATTACACTGTTTATTGGTTTATTGTAATTATAGTTACGAATGCCATGCATGATAAATTTTGTTCGTAAGATGAGAAAAATTACATTGAATAATTAAATAGACGTTGACATACCCATCATTTGAGTGTAGAGGCGTTTTCCTATATGTGGGTTTCACGTTAATCGTTTGTCTCTAAATATATTCCCAAATGAACATTACCGTACCATGATGTCGACTATAGGAACTTATATATGAGTTATAGCATATATTAAAATATGTTATATACCAGAATAACATTATGTATTCGACTTGAAGGTCTTTTTTTTGTATTTTATATTTTTATAACAACCTATAACGTCTTTAAAATTCTAATTTACAAAAATCCTATCATTGTAAATCGATGTACAATAGGTATATTATTTTTATGGGTCTGATATGTTTGCCCGACACTCAAATGCCCGACACCTCAATTGCCCGACACCTCAATTGCCCGACACTACTTTTACCTGACAATGCATTTTCCGAACAATACATTTGCTTGACATTACATTTTGCATTTTTTTACTGTAAGTACGTAATATTAGTATAGGTGGTATATATTATATACTATATAATATAACTTGATACTGTCGACTGTCGGACAAATGTATTATTATTATTTATTAGTTATATAATTTTGAATAATTTTTGACACACATTTATGTATAATATAACTTGATATTGCCGCCTAGGCGCGCCTGTTGGACAAATGTATGAATTTTTTAATATAAACCTAATATATACYTATATACATAAATATAATATATTTTTGAATATATTGTCGGGCAAATGTGTTGTCGGGGAATTTAATGTCGGGAAAGTGTACTGATCCCATTTTTATAGGTATTAAAATTTAGATTAATATTTGTATGTACTTGTTGCTAATTGAACGTATTACCACAATACATTATACTACAATAGTACAATATTAAAAGAAATATAAAATATACTATCTACCTATATAGATTTATAATTGATACACTCTAATCACAATATATAGTTATTGGCAACGAAAATTTACAATGATGTTTTTGAATTCAATCCAAATACATTTTACGCAGATTTCATTCTTTTAAAACATAAGTTATATAGTCTGAAAACACAAAAAATGAGAAGAAAATAGAAATGYCGCAATTTTAATCAGCATGTATCCGGTGTTTTTTATGCAGAATTACAACTTAACTCAGTAAAAATTATCAAAAATTATCAAAAATCTCCCTAAAATATAAACGTATATATAATATATTTTATGTTGTAAAATAATATATATATTATTAAGATAATATGAGATAAGTTAATTAGGTGATACCTAACTTAAATAATCTGTATGAATAGATTATAYGTATTGTGGACCATATAAGCACCAAAGTTGGCAGTTAAATACTAATGATTACTATTATTGTAACCTATTATTTGTGTATATCTGGTCAAATGTGTTTGTGTGTGTGTGTGCGTGGAGAGCTTGATATTTTTACCCATTATCAAAAGTAGGCAGGTTTCAACTTACAACTTATCCTCAACATTTTTCCAAAAAGTACCTACGTATATATATGTATATTATGACTGGATAAATAAATAATATAATATATATGTCTATTTTAAATTTTAATGTTATAAATATGTGTATTGTTTCAATGTTATAAAAATTTGTAATAAGTGAATGTTATAAATGTAATAATAATATAAAAATAGTATTCTATTGACAGACTAAGCATTTTATTTGAGGAATTGTGGGGGGGGGGTTTAAAACATCCTAAGGAAAAACTTATATTCTCATCTTCCCATAATTCACCCCTAATAACCACATATAATGATTATTATGTCATTGCCTGTTTACAAGCCTGTTCATACCTATCCACAGTATGTGATTGCCAAGGTTGACCATTTTAGCATTCCGTATAGTATAACAATGCGTATTARTAATATATAGCGTAGCCAGCCATGATTTTTTAAAGGTTTATTTTGCAACTATTAAAAAKTATTAATATAGTAAACTGTGAGTATGAAATATTTTAAAAACAAGTATCACGGGGATGATGACTTAAAAATCGAATAAACGATTAATACAGGAATTATTGTCATTTGTCGTGTGTATTTTAATTTTTTCTCACAATCGACAAAATTTATCAACAAATATAAAATATGAATTATTAAATTATTATGTATTCAAACATTAATCCCGATAGGTAATCAATAATAATATTCATTAGGTATAAAATATACTATTGCTGGTTTAAAAGTCGATTTTCCATGTATCGAAATCAATAGAAAAATATTCGGCTTGAGAAGACGAAATGTTTTAAAATGGCAAAAACTTAAGAAACGATATCATTTAAAATGTAATTAAAAAACAATAAAAATTTTGAAAAACACGGATTTACCGTGAATAAACCGTTAGTTTTCTTAACACTATAATATATGCTCTTCTAAGATAATCGCCCTGTATGCAGCACATCTGTGACACTAGACGTCGTCGTCATTAAAATTCATGTTTACGTCAACGCCGCGATGACGGGCAAACCGACAGCGACGCCGCCGACACACGATCGAGTGTGTGTGTCCAGCGCGCGCGTGTGGGCATGTGTCACAAACCCCGAAAGACCTTTGTAGAAAGTGCGCTCTGTACGAGTGGTCGTCGGACGACTATGTCCAGCGGTCAGCTTCGAATGATTGTATTATTATCGTCGTTGTCTTCGTCTTTGTCGATACTACCGCAATAATTTCCGCTGTCGAATATTGTAGTCCCAGCCTTTTAGTCGACAAAGCAGCTGAATTTATTTTATTTCCTTTTACTATCATTATATTGTAGTCACCTTATATTATTATCACGTCGGGTTTGAAAGGATAAGGCGAGGGATCCGGCGGCGTTCACGCTGCAGGAATGAAAATCAAACATGCCAACAACAACATCGGTGAGTGATCAATTAGTAATACACCTATAATAATACAACATGTTATTGTCATGCAATTCAAAGGATATTATAATATATATATACATATATTACTACGCTCATATTAATATTTTTAAGAGGTAAATTTTGTTTGTATACTGAACCGATTTTGAAATTCAATTTTTAAAAATATATACACTGTCATCGATAATAATAACATAATAATTTAAGCATTCTAAATTGCACATTTCTGTCAATCCGTTAATATAAGTGCTATTGATAAAATAAATATAAATATTTATAAAAATATAATATATAGGTGTTTTTAATCAACTTAACCTAACATTTTAATGCCTTAATATTTTTCTAAAATTGGTCAATCGAAACCTCAAGCACGCGATAGAAAAATTCATCGTGAGCTTTAGAAACAGACAAACAACGGGAATAAATTTAACTTAAAAGAAATCTAGCTGCAATATTTTGTCGTTGTGGCTAAATCAGATTATATATAATATTATAAYTTATAATATTGTAATTCACTTGTCAGCACCCGATTTAATGAATAATTTCAGTGGTTATATGCAATCCACCGTGAAACCCTAGTCTAATTTTAATGTACCTACTAACCCATACACCTATTGCACCTGTTATAATTAATCCAAATATAAACTAATGTAGAGAATTCATTTTTAAAGAATTCTAATATTTAGGTATCAAGACCAACATTTAGCATCGTCAATTTATTTTAAAACGTTAATATCATCGACAATTGAATTTATATTTTTCTAATACCCACATAAAAAGGTTAATATATAATAAACACAGGCGGTARAATAATCATCATTACCTATTGAACTATTGAACAAAAATCGATATGGAATAACGCACATGTATAAACCTTTAATATATTGATATTCTTTCTAATCAGTTGTATTTATATTCAAAATCGATCTGTTCAATAATTCTATAGGTAATGGTGATTATTTTACCATTTGTGATTATATTAAAACTTTTGTAAGTAGGTACTAGCAAAAAAGTCATTGCAGCAGATGTGGTGTTATTTGTRGGACCTTAACTTATACGCTATAAATTATAACCAACGATCGCTGTTTTTTTTTTCAGTTTTCAATTACGAGTGCGATTTTATACGTATTCCACGCGCACTCGTTCGCAGATTTCTAATCATTTTATTTTCGATTTTATTTTTTGCGAAAAGATCCAATCCACGTTTACTTATACAGCGCATAAAATATTATTATTTTAATGCGTATTGAATAAATTTGTAATTGATTTGTGTCTATCATATAATAAAGATGCATATTATATTCTACAAAATATTAATAGGTACCTAACTTAATAAATATCAAAATTATCGATGGTATCATATCATCTGCTTTTTATAGGAATTAGGAATATAAAGGCTATGTTATATGGTCATGTGGAACACGCGTGAACCAACGGGGCGAAAATATAATATTGTTCGGTCGTCGTCTGTTGGATTTATCAAACTGTAATTTATACGATATGTAAATAAGAATCATTATTATGATAATAATTATTGTATGTTAACATCGAGTCTCACATGCCACATAGAAGTTGTATATAATTATATTGCCGTCTTGGAAATTATACAGTTCGTTCATTGATTAAATATACAATAATAGTAATAATAATAATAATGTATATTAAATCAATGGTTCGTTGTAATCTAGTATAATATTTATTATGATTAAAATATTACATTCACGAAATCCATATTCAACTAATCCTGCGAATAAACAATCTATCAAACCGTTTCGACTAAAATAAAGTGAATCGCGTCGTTGTATTATTGCGACTTGCAAAAATATTGGTACTGATCGCCTTACAATCTTAGGTTAATAATATTGTATGCTTTTATTTAATAGACTTCCAAAAATTATAAACATTGATAATAATTATTTTTTTCAATTCACTTTTTCTTTAAGTTCCTTAAAGGTTTTGATTCTTGCATCACATTTAATTTGTCCTATGTAAGAGTTTCGTGGATGTCCTCATATTTCTTTCTTTTTTTTCTTTAATAATAATAAAATATTTACAAAAATGTCTAAATATAAAAATAATTAATTTCAATCAATTTGTATAAAAATAGCATCAATAATAAAAATTATGTGAACAAACTTAAAATTAAGATGATGTTATCCAAAATTATAAAAGCCGTCGATAATTAGGCCACATTTATCTACTTACTTCATAATTTCATATGCAATATTTGTTAACATTTTATTACTTTGTGAACATCTAATAAATATAATAATAATATAGTACAATAAAGCATAAATTCTCATCAGTGTTATATTTATAGAGATATTTTTATAAAATTAACTATTATTCAACCCAAATAAATGTATAATTTATTTCTTTCATTGGAGTTTGGACCTGTATACCTAAACTTTGAATTACACAAAATAAATAATAATTAATATCAACCACATATGTTTTATATTTTATCCTATACCGTAAAACATCATCATTGTTTTCATCATTTTCTAGTTTTCTACAGTAAAATATGTATCATTGTACTGCTAAACTTAGGGGTTGTAGGTTAGTATAAACACTCTTAACCAATAAGTAATAACCTTATTATTCAAGAGAGAAATATTAGGATGTTTATGGGGACATATTATTACAACATAATGGAACGAAGTCAATGAAGACATGATCGTATTTATGCAATTTGTCAAAAACACTTTATTAATATAGTTTAACTTATTTATCCGTGTATTTGACGAACAGAAATATCAACTGGTGAACAGTTTACTAACACCGATATTTTTAAGAGATTAGGAACGATGATGTCTTTGTCTAACACTTACCTACAAATTCTTCGCTATATCTATGAGATCGACTTTATCGCATTTCGTAATTTTTTCCGGAAGATTTAAATATGGCAATCTAATATCATTTATGATTTATGAAACCAAAGATCAATAAAAAAAAACCGCTCTCAACTCTCAAGCATAAACATGATTTCTAATACAAATCTGTTTTCAGAATTATAATTACTCGATTGGTACGTTGAAAATATAATACATCTATATTAACTATGGGTTTGCTACCATGTTAGATTAAGACAGATCATTACCGTATCTGTGCTTTAATTAAAACACCGCCACTGTAGTTGTCATTTATCACAGAATATCAACGGATTACACATAATTAATTATAATGTTTATATTAAATTATTTATATAATACTATAGTAGTAAACAAAATAAAAATATATAATTTATTTTATGTACTTATAATAGAAAAATATACCATACAAATTTAAATAAATAGGTAAGTCATAAGAACAAACTCTATCAATAATCACTAAAATAATTATAACTTCAKTATAGGTAATTAAGATAATTTTTTTTTTTAAATAAAATCATTTTACAACGCATTATATAATATTTATATATCTCATAAAACATTAATGAACCTACCTAAAAACCTTTTTATAATCCTATTTACCAATATACAAATAAGATACGTTATAAAACGTAAACATAGAATTAAACGACAACTAAACAATAAATTACCTTATAAGATAAACATATAGGTATTAAAATTATTTGATTAGAACTTACATAACACATATGTAATATATACATAATTATCTTAAAATGGCATAATGTATAGGTAGATTATACATTAGAAAAATGTTAACAAATTAGTTAATAATTCAAAAACTAAGATTTTAGGTAAACATTACTTCAAACTATGTTTATATATATATATATATATATATATATATATTTATTTATTTTAAATCACTAGCCACATGGGATATCTTGAGTGCTTCCCATTCAGACTTAAACCCAGGTTCTATTTTTCTAAAACCTTAGAATTTAAACAAATAAAATATCACTTCTAGAAAAAAAAATTATGAACTAACTGATGGATCGAATATATTTCATGTATATTACGTATTTTTCCTGACAAATTCAATTTTTACGATAAAATTTTAATTTGTTAGAAATAATTAAAACACACTGAAATAATATTCAATAAGGACCATATTATAAAAGACTTATTTTATTACCTAATGTATGCTTCCATCATTTGTTGTAAATACTAAATTGTAAGGAAATAATTTTTTTGAAACTGATGACAATTAATATAAATCGAGTAATTTGTGTTTGAACTATTCCGTTTGAGTCAAATATCCAAAAATAATGGTTGACTAAAAATGATCAGAATCACCGCCATTTTCTTAATAGGTATAGATACCTATGAATATTATACCGAACATGCAAATTACGCATGAATTTCATACTATTTCACCATCGTCAAAWCTTAGTAATATACTATATCAGTATTATAATATCGTCTTCTCGGTTTTGGACGCATATGTTTCAAAATTAATCCTGATATCAAAGTGAATGTTCAAAACTTAAAATCTGTAGTGAAATAATTGAATGTTATCTGGTTTTTTCACTTATTTGTCAATAGGCATATAATATTACATTATCTTATGTAGTTTAAACAACGCTGTACAAACAAAAATCAAAGAATAAAAAATAAAAAATCAAAAACCGATTAACATATTATAAATTATAAATCTTATATGTAAACCTAAAGAATAGTGCAATTGGGAGCGGTTTGTCAACATTTTTAATGTTACGCCATCGTTACAAAACTGCCTACTGGCCTCGTGGGTCTCCTTAGCTATATATTATTATCTAATATTCAAAAAATAAAAATTAGTAAGCCGTTGCAGTGTGTATGTGTGTTTTTTAACCTGAGTTGGCCAGTTTATAAAATTAATAATATTCATGTAGGTAAATGTTTTAAAACCTGATTTGCGAATTTCTATTAAGCTTTCAAATGGTTAGGCATGCTATATATTTACAAATAAGAAATTACAGACAATAAATAGAGAAGTATATTATAGACATGTATCTATGTTACATTTATATACATATATTAGACGTGTCTTGAAACAAACACAATTAGGCACTAGTACAACACCAGTACCGTATTTAGAATTGTATTGTCCTAGGCACTCATTTCTTCATTGCACTTGGGCATCTCTTATCTCCCTTTTCCATAGCTATAAATTGCTTTGGAGGATTTTTTTTTGTACTTTAATCCTTCTTCCAACCCTTCTTCTTCAAAGCGTTAAATAATTCAATACTTACCTTGTTTTCTATAAAAGCATTTGGCTTCAGGTAACATTGATTATCCCGAATTTTTAGTCTTTTTATTTTTTTTCATTCTGTCTCGTAAGTCGTAATWCATGGTCTCAACTTCAAATGCCTATTTAATTTAAGGCTACAAGTTACTAATTATGCAAACAACAGTCACTATAACTAAATTATGCAAAACCGTTAACAACCTGGAAATAGAAATGTTCAAATCACCAAAATTGTAAATTTTTAATTTGTAACTCATGATTTATCAGTCATGTAATTATACGGATAATTATATATTTTATAACATTAGTTTATTATAATATTTTATTGTATATCAATATCATATTATCATGTATTTACGAATGATAGTATATAATTTGTAATATTAATCAGTATTTATATTCTCTTAATAGGATAGGACCTCACCCGTTTAATACCAAATTAATTTCTTCAACAAGACAAGTGCTATATCAAATACAATAAGGTTCTTTATTTAAACTAAATACAAATAAATAAATAAAAAGTTATTGGTTAACATTATTAGTATTCGTTAAAATGTTGATATTCAGCAGAACTCAGCAGAAGTATTGCGTAAACCAAGGACGTTAGAAAATGATAATATTTATAGATGATCGATAATTTAATCGTGTTTTGAAATTAGGTGTTAACCATAAATAATACACCACAGAGTCCTGCGAGACACGCTAAGGAAATCATAGGCTGCAGTACTTTAGCTGCATTGGCATGTCTACTGTGGCGATGACGGCTAAAAAGATATTCTCTCCCTTCACCAATTTTTTTATATTTATTTTTTAACATTACAATTTTCTAAATGTATAGAAATGACGTGAAGAGTGATTTTAAGTCTTCAAAACAGTGTTCGTACGTCATCATCATAATATTATGAATTATATACTTGAACGTCTAATGATAACCGTTAGTCGGGCAACGTGACCCCGCGGACTAAATCAGTGAGACATTATAAAAAGTACTTATAACATATATATTGCACCTGGTTATAACTATAGGCCTACTTCTACGAAAGCGACAGCAACAATAATATTTTTTGTAGCGGTTTTCGTTTCATCCGAGGCGGGCGCGGTGTCAAAATCGCGTGGGCCAGTCGCAGTTTTCCCCGCGCCCGCTCCGGGTACCGATGATGAAGAGCGAGAGCGACCGACCATCATGATACTAAAATAATTTAGTTTTTTTTTTACACACGCACTGCGCACATACACAACAACGATAGGAATATAATAATAATAATAATATGATGTTAGCGGCGGCGGTGGATATATTATTATTATTTAGTGTGTATAATATCGATGTACCTATAATACACGCCACGCCGTCGCGGTCGGCTGGAGCGTCGTCGCGCCAAGCGCATGCAAGCGACCGCGTCCGACATTCTCGTCCCGAAAACCAGTTCCCCTGGATTACCACCACCTAGGTAACCGTCGAACCGCGTACAAGCGTATAATTCACCTGTAAAAAATGACCGTGTGTACAACACGCTTGCACGATGCATTATTATTATTTTTGTTGTGATCACCGTCATCGTCATCATTGCGTAGTCGCAGTTGTCGTCGTGTGTGCGGTTTTGTTCTGCGCGCGTTTCCTCCAGCTGCAGTTCGTGGCGTGCGCACAGAAATCACGACGCTCCGCGCATTTTTTCGTCCGCATGCAGCACGACGGCGTCGGTGGCCAAAACAATCTTCTGGTCGCATATAACCACCTAACCGTATACCAGCCGAGACCATTATATACCTAGTTTCATTAATCGATTGTGACATAATAATATATACCCAGTTTACCTGTTACCGCGATATATATATATAAATTACAAGTATAGAGGTACCTGTCCCCGATCACATCGCTAAGTATACCGCGGTCTTCAAAGCTTGCGGGAAATCGATCATTACGAACACGCTGCGCAGCAGAGATTAGATAAACGCGGTAAAACATCTTATACCTATTACCTATACCTAAGTCGTTTTTTTACCACGTTATATGACAGTATGGCGTACAGTATAATATTATTACATTGTAACTACCGCACGAAATTCGAAACTAAATTCGATATTGTACCTTTTTTAACGTCATAGATGCATATTGTTATTATTATTACTACACGCGTAATATTATAATGTTTTTTCGCAGACGACATGGAAAGACAACGGGCAGAGTCGACATTCACCATCCTTTCAAAGGTCAAGAATTCGCCCAACGTGAACACGGCGGTTAAATGGCTGTCGTCCAACAAGTTACTCATATTCATCTTGGTATCAGTCGTATTTGGAGTGATCCTGGGTGAGTACGCATGTTTAAACATCCTATATACGACGGCCAGCAAGAATTAATAATGTATAGGTAGTTGTTCCAATAATGGGTAGGTACTCATAGTGAATTTATTATTAAGATTAATCGTATACGATCCATCGTCGACAATTTACAGCGGTTTTTGTATGAATAGGTTAGCACCCCATCTCAGTGTTCAGTCTAGTAGGGACAGCACTTAAACCTATATCGGCTTACCTACGTATACTATTGTTGTCACTTTTGTAACTTCAGTCCAGATTGAGAGATAAATCTAAATTTAGTACAGTTATTTTCACGTGCCAACTACCTACTATACATAATATTAGTGTAGGTACATGTTTATTTTATAAAATTCCAGCATAAAGTTGATAGATAGAAAATGTCTATATAGTCATTAGTCATTACTCATTAGATTTATTGATCAATCTTTAAATTACACAAAATATTTAAATAATGTATATTTATGCCAAATTGACATATCGAATACAATAGAATAATTATATGTGTCTTCAGTGCATACTGTAATATTATTTCTATTTTATGAGACAAATCCTGTGTAAAATTGTGTTTATAATTTTATTTGTAATTATTATTATTCAGATAAATTTTGAAATCTACTGATTTCAAAATGCTATTTTACATAATATTAAGTATAGCAATAAGGTATAGTAGTTATTGGATCGAGTGCATTAAACTTACCTTTGAAAAAAAATATACCATAATAGCTTTAATTTATAGAATATATGACATATATGTAAAACCTACAATTATGCAACAATGAAATATTTAAATTCATTACTTCTCAAAGAAAAATGAAATTATTTCAAACCAGCTATATACGGACAAATTTCTCCAAAAATGGCATTATGTATACAAGCAGTAGTGACCAATTTTTTTTTGATAACGGTTAACTAATAACTAAGATTATATTTTTCCTTTGATAAGTCATAATAATACATACAACTTAGTATTGTCGACAGTAGTTAGTAGTTATTATGTTACTAAGTATGTAATTATAAACTCTAATTAAATGGAACGACTTAGAAGTTGTCCGCGATCGATCGATCAATCGCGTTCAACCGTTCGGCCGCCCCATAGTACCTATATACATAAAAATCATTGTATAAATATTAGTTCAAATTTTTAAGCGATTTGAATTTCGTTATTAAAAATATAATACCTAAGTGTTAAGTGATATAATAATGCTTACTGCAAGCCTAAGTATTGTATTCGTTTTAATTTATAAAACCTATATTATGTAGTTATTATCAGCTACTTATTATTTTTTAGTTATTAGTCATTACTTAATGGTACTTATTCTCATCAATTTATTAGATCTAATAAATAAACATTGAGTGAGGATATGAAATTTTATTTATAAACGGAAATAATTTGACTCAAAAAAATGTTAAATACTGTGTTTATAATTTATATTTAGTATTAAGTACCTACTTAAATAAATAGTTCAATTTTAATGCCTATATATTTTAATTGGTAAATTAAAATTACTACCAAATTGAAAATATTTTTTTTTTTTTTATTAAAAGAAACTTTGTAAACAATTAGCTTCGACAATTATGATTATAAATATTACATATGAAAGCAAGATTAACAAAAAAATTGAAAATATTAAATTAATCCTTCAAGAATCATTTATGGATTCGAGGCTTTAAATGTTACTATAATAAATAATATACATAATATATCACTGCCTTCGAGAATCCAAAACAACGCGAGACAGGTACTATTATAGTATTTTTTAACTTGTAATATTCTTAAACGTTGTCCGTTATTCATTATTATTAATATAATATATTAATATATATATGTTTTCGATAAAAATCAAATTTATCGCCTAATCTGAGTATTCTTTTTTTAACGATTTATTTTTAATTAGTTTATTCAACCAAAAATACATAAAATATTTGTCTAGACATACGTATTCAAACGTAATAAGGTACCTAATATGATTTATACAATAATAATAATAATCATTTTGTTGAGATAATTTGCAAAATTTACGTGGGTGCAGAATCATATGGCATTCGAGTACAGGTATATATTTATTACACTACCTATCAATATAAACAGTGTAGGATTTATCCAAATTCCAATCTTAAGAAAATGCAAATTTACCAAACTCGTAACCTTGAAATCACTCAAGGTCAATAATTCTGTATGTTTTAAAAGAAACAAAATGTGTTTATTTTTTATTCAATAGAAATAGAGAGAGTACTAACATGCTTTATAGTTAATACCTATTRGWAGACAACATATTTTTATATAAGAAAAAGTTGGAGTGAATTGTTTTTATTTAATTTTTAAAGAAACTATCTTGAATACTTACCTAATATTGTTTTGAAATATTTTTTAGCTTAGATAAAAACATGTTTATAACCTACACTTGGTAGACATTTATACTTCGTTCATTACAACTCGTCATATAAGTATTACGTATAGCCCGTATAGGTAGGTACAGTTAACACGTCTTAATAGTATTAACTTCTAAGTTCTAATTGTTTAATAAATTTCACTAATGTTTTATAATTGTTTATTTTTTTTTTTTTTAACTCAGAAAAATTTCAGCAGCAAAAGATTTAAAGATATACGTTATAATTTTATTTCTTAACACTTTTGACTTTAGTATTACAATATTGATTTTAATGAAGTTGAGGGATAATACAACATTTCATAGAAAAAAAATAACTAATATGATATTAAATTGATACAATTTTTTATAGTATTAAATTTTTTTAAATAATATGTTAAATTTTAGAAATAATTTGATAGCTTTGGTATTCTTCTGATTCGGTCTAAGATAAGTAGGTATCGATGTTTAATATTTTGTATTAAATATTTTATTTGTACTTTGTAAATCATTACATAAAATTATGTTCCTAATGAAATAAGTTTATTCGATAATTTGCAATGAGTAATATCCATCATAATATCTTAATTGTTTTATCCAAATAACAGATGAAGGTTTCACCAGGCTCTGAACACGAAAATATTTTCAATAATAAGTGACMATATTTTGGGATATTCACTGACGACTCTAAAATGAAAAATGGTGCAGGAGCAATGGTAGTATTTCAAGATAACGTCACCATTCTGAGACCACCTAATTTTAGCTCCATATACGCAGAACTAAGGCAATGGCAATTTCCTTCGCCTTGGACCTCATAAAAATAAAAGGTATACACAAATCAAAAATCCTAAGCAACTCACTAAGTACATTAAAGAGTATTGAAAACTTCTCTAACCAAATGAGATCACCAGGAAAATATATAATCAACTCAACGACCTTACTCAATCTGACTATTCAATCACCTTAGTTTGGTTCCCTAGCCACAACCAAATCTCGGGAAATGAAAGAGCTGACGAAAAAGCTCGTCAAGCAATTACCTCTTCTGATGATATTAGACTTAGTATTTTCATCCTCCACGACGCTAAATCCATATCAAAAATAATCTCAAACAATATATGGCTAAGAGCATGGAAACAAGGTACCTCAAAACTAAACGAAATCAAAAATACCATCCACTCATGGCTCTCTCCAACGAACTTCCCAAGGAAGACGGAAACCGCAATAAATAGAATGCGTATAGGATACACGTCGCTAACACACCAGTACTTGATGAAGCAAGAATACCCACCCATATGCGTCAGTTGCTGTACACTCCGATCAATAAAATACATCGTATCTGAATGCCGTTTCTATATATGAAACGGACAAACGAGAAGCTGGGGTATCAAATCATGGCGAAAGCTCTCCATCCAGATACCAAAGTTACAATTTCACACGATGGCCTTTTTAATTAAAACCAATCTCATAAATAGTTTATAAACTGTTCTTGTTTTAATAATAATATAAATACTGTATCCTTAAAAATTGTTAACCTTAAACTCCTTGTATACCAATGGCCATAGACGCCGAGGCTTATTTATTTAGATAAATAAATATATATATATATATATATAATATATTTAAAATTATAAAATGCAGTTTATAATTTTATAAGTAAGTATATAAAATTATATTTCATTGTATTTGATTTCAGGATTGATTTTAAGACCGTTGAACCTTAGCAGTGATACTATTACTTTAATTTCATATCCCGGTGACCTTTTCTTGAGGACTTTAAAGTTGATGGTCTTACCATTCATCATATCATGTTTAATTATAGGTAAGCATATTTTATTTTATTTATATAACAATAATAACTTAATGTACTATAGTTAAGTACAATTGAGTCGTGGGTAACTGATGACTCAAAATAACAGTTAAAATTGAACTGGAATAGTTCTCAGTTTGATCAGCCTAATTGACAATTTCTAAAACATTGAAATATAATATGTAAATAATATTTTTTTATCAATTTTCTCCTAACTAAAATTACTCATAAGTTATAATTATAATTACATTAATATGATTGCCAAAGTCCTTTGAAACAGCGGGAAACTTTATTACAGGTGGAATTTGGAATCTATTAATTTGTGAATTATAAATCAATCATGTTTTATGTGTTATTAAAACTTATTTAAAATATATAATGAGAAATACAATTAATTATTAACTATATAATAATATATTTTTAACTTGTATTAATAAAAATATTATAACCTTAGAAAAAAAATTCTATTTGATTCATTCTATACCTACCTAGAAAACACATTTGAAACACCTTGAATTAATTTTGCATACATTTTACATAATGTTATTTATATATTGGTACTTAACACTTATATTAACACTCGTTCGAAATTCAATTTTTAGGTATGCGTAGAAAAGAAACGCTCTGTATAGTTGATCTACAAAAATTGGCTTTTAAGAATGTTATATGAATAAGAAATGAACCTTAATGTAGCATACAGCTCATAGTAAATTAAGTAAAAAACTAAACTGTAATATAAATCATTAGAATACAATTTAAGGCAAAAGTACATTTCCCTAGCGGCGTTTAGACACAATCAGTACCATTATAAGTTATAGAGGAGAGAAAAAAGGGACGATTACCCCGAGTGGCAAACTTTAACGGCAGGAAAAGTGGCGAAAGGGGTCTAGACAAGGAGACTATCACAGTAGCACACTGCGTTAAAATAAAATTATAGTTATTTTATATAATATAGCAATAAATTACAGTCGGTTAATAAACTCTTGAAAACCACATTACAGAAATTAGAATTCTCGATTCATCACTTATTGCGTTAAATTATCAAACAGTTCTATTGGTAAAACGAACTTAATAATCTTGGTGAATGGTGGCTCAGTCTAACTCTAATAAACGCCTAACCTATAGATACATGGTAATATATACAAGTCAATTATTCAACTAGTTCGGAAATGCGGTATTAGGTTATGAAATGCTGCTGTCATTCAATACCAAAACGTTTCAGGTGTTTCAATCCATCTGCTTCTCCTTGGTATTTAACAAGCAATTATTATCTTCATAAAGACCTAAAAATTCCTACCCTTAATCTATTAGCAAAATTATGTTAGGTACTTTAAATTTCATACTAACATAAGTTAGTAGAAATTCTCATAGTTACCCATTAATCAAACAACTATCCTCAATCTAACTTTCCAGAAAGATTCACTTTCTGATTTTAAAAAGTAAGTACTGAAGTCGAAAATCGAAGCATTTTTACTGCCCCAAAACGTGATGACAAACACAAAAAAACACACACACACATCATGGTAAAATCAATACATTCATCGCTCCATTCAGAACCTAAAATGAAATTGTAACATCAAATTTACGTATTACTCGATGATCATATTTTATAATAAAATGCGCCACTGTGACTAATAGTATATTCATATGAACATTGTCCATAAAAAATGACACCAAGGTCATGACATCTAAATTGTTGTTCTACTTCCCACTGCGTCAAGACACTTAGGAAAAACCAATAAACCTAAATAATTTATTATTAGCTTTGTTGATATTCATTGGGGTTATTATTACAATATTTATTACTTAGGCTATATCCTATAGGCATAACGTACGTTTTATGTGCCCTATAATCAAATATTACTATTGTTTAAATTTATGAATGTTACTATATATTATGTACAAGTACTTATCCGCAAACATATTACTTTCACTCCTTTTTTACTAAATCATATTTTTATTTAACGCATGTTTTTTTAGCATTCAAAATTTCAAAATAATGAACGTAAACCAAAATTACAATTTTTCTGTTTTTGAATTTTAATTCAGATTAATTACTACTTTTGTATAAGACAGATTATAATTTAAATCCGTTATATTATACTGATAAACTTGAGACCACATAGTTATTAAGAGGATATTAGTGTAGTGTTTGTTTTATTCTCTCTTCGGCTCATGCTCAACATAGGTATATAAAACACTTTCACCTAAAATCTTTTTTTATGATGTTTGATTAACCTTAGATTAAAATTACCTATTACAAAGATTATAGAGGATAATATTTTTGAGAGTAGATTTTATATTTTATTTTTATTTGACTTAGTGTTTGACTTTCAAAATAAAAAAAGTTGTAAGTTTAAATTATGATTAAATTGTTTTAAGATTGTAACGATTTACAGATTACTGACTCATCATTTATGTCGCGCTCGCCGATTWAGCTTAGGTTAACAGAACACAGGAACGTAGAGTACGAGCATATATGTATATTATAAAATATAGCCAGACAGTCGAGTCTAAACCACGGTCGTGTCCAAACACACATTGAAGCCTACTTTGTAAAAATCATTTAATAATTGTTCAGCTCGTGCTCCGCTATTCCTGTGATCTTCAATATACTACCCTCAAGAACAGGGTTACTCAGGTGATAGTGTACTATATACTATAGATATTATTCAGTTATTTAATAAATCTTGTTTTGCGTTACTATATCATGTTCCATTGTATTAGTCTATGAACGCAGGTCATAAGTTCCTAGGACCTGAAAAATAACTTAGGAAACTTTATTTGTATCGATCCAACAACCCGGTTCTCAAGATCGGTTCGTGCAGTAAGAATAGCTAACCAACTACTCCTTAACTGGATAAGATTTGGTATAAATATCGAAAACCACTTAGTTTTGATAGACGAAGGAGGTATGTTGCAAGATAATATTTAGACAAATCTGTAAATTATTCCCTCAAAAATATTATTCCTTATCGATTTTTTAATGGGTGATTTTTCTCTAAGATTATTCAAAAACATTAAAAAAAAGGTTTCTACATAAGTTTGTTTTGTTTATGTTTTACGTGGGCCAAAGAGAAAAAACAAACAGTTCAATGGCATCCACTTAACTAGATTATATAAAACAAACTTTTCCCCCAGGTGCTGCTAATTTGGATATAAGTAAAAATGGCAATGTTGCAGTCCGAACAATTGTGTATTTTGTCCTTACGTCTGTTTTTAATGTCTGCTTGGGATTAACGCTCGGTCTGCTCGTTCATCCCGGCAGTCCAGATCTAAGGTTAACAAATACCACGACATTTTCAGGACCCAAAAAGATGAACGTTATGGATGGATTTTTAGATATGGGAAAGTGAGTAAACATTTTAACTAGGTAATTTTATTCGTTAGGCGTAACAATTGACAATTAAAATATGGACTAAATCGTCATTTCATATCTTACTCAATGAAACTGGATAGAAATTAAAATGACATTGATATATTATAAAATAATAATATATTAGTATATAATGTATATTGAAATAGTTTTGAATTTGTATAAATAAAATTAGTACCATTGTCTTCATCTTAAAATTAAAATTTACTTTGTGATTTTATTTTTTAGGAATTTATTGCCAGAAAATCTGTTTCAAGCTACAATTCAACAAGTAAGAAATAATAGATAAATTCTTTCAAATGTTTGTATAAAATTTTAAAATTACTAACATTTTTAAAAGATATATTACTACTCAGTGTTCTTACTTCAAAGTGCAAAATAATATTTTATTAACTAATATCCTAAATTTAAAAATTATTAAGGTAGTTAATATAAAATATTTTTACTTTTTAAATCGCCTTTGAAACGCATAATAAATTATTAACATATATAAATATAATCTTTATTACACTGATATGCATTACCGTTCACCTATATAGTACCCATTACAGTCGATTTGTATGATGACGATTTTGAATATTTTTCAGACATTAACCGAGTATGAGACCGTCATGGGTGAAAATAACACGAAAGTGTTGAAAAAAGTCGTTAAATACAAGTAATACTACAACATTATTAAATTGCATTTGGCTAGGTCGGTTAATATATAATAATATAGCTATCCTAAGCTATTGATTTTGTTCAATATACTATAATTTCTTTCATATAAATAACATAAATCTTTGGTCATCTCACCAAAAGCTGCTGTTCTGCAACTCCTTTAAAATTAAAATAATAATAATATATAAAATAAATTTCTAACAATATTTCT